TTTTAAAATAATGTTTTCGCCAACATTTTAAGCTATAGGCCTAAAATTTTTTCACCCAACGTCTTGTCTATAGACTTGTATTTTTGACGATTTTTTTCACCCACCATCAGAATCAAAGATGAAGATTCTTTTATGATTTTTTTCACCCAGCGTTTGATCTATAGGCTTTTTTTAAATTTTTTTCACCCCCCATCTAAACCATAAGGGTTCGATTTTTCTTTTAACCGTGTTGCTCTACTCTATAGGTGTGTATTTTTAAAGAATCTTTTTTTCACCCACCATGTAAACCATTGCGATTTTTTTTTCACTCAGAGTCTTCTCTATATGCGGAATTTTTTTTTAAAGATTTTTTTTCCACACAGATTTTTTTTTCTATAGGTCTGCATTTTTAAAGAATTGTTTTCACCCCCATATAAACCGTAGGTGTAGATTTTTTTTAATTTTTTTTCAGCCAGCGTTTACTCAGTGGGTGTGTATTTTTAAATATTTTTTTACCAACATTTTAGACCGTCTAAACCATAGGCGTATTTTTTTTTAAGTTTTTTTATCCACCTTCTTAACCATATTCGTGGATTTTTTCCCCCAGCGCCATGTCTATAGGAATGTATTTTAAAATATTTTTTTCACCCAAATTCTAAGCCATAGGCCTAAAATTTTTTCACCCAACGTCTTGTCTATAGACTTGTATTTTTGACGATTTTTTTCACCCACCATCAGAATCAAAGATGAAGATTCATTTATGATTTTTTCACCCAGCGTTTGATCTATAGGCTTTTTTTAATTTTTTTCACCCCCCCTCTAAACCATAAGGGTTAGATTTTTCTTTTAACCGTGCTGCTCTACTCTATAGGTGTGTATTTTTAAAGAATCTTTTTTTTTTCGCCCACCATGTAAACCATTGCGGTTTTTTTCACTCAGAGTCTTCTCAATATGCGGAATTTTTTTTAAGATTTTTTTCCGCACAGATTTTTTCTATAGGTTCGTATTTTTAAAAAATTGATTTTAGTCCCATATATACCGAAAGTGTTGATTTTTTTAAATTTTTTTTCCAGCCAGCGTCTACTCTGTGGAAACATTTTTTTCCACCAGCCCTTTGGACCGTCTAAACCATAGGCGTATATTTTTTTAAATTTTTTTTTTACCCACCTTTTAAACCAGATTTTCGTAGATTTTTTCTCCCAGCGCCATGTCTATAGGAATGTATTTTAAAATATTTTTTTCACCTAAATTCTAAGCCATAGACCTGAAAATTTTTCACCCAACGTCTTGTCTAAAGGCTTATATTTTTAACAATTTATTCACCCACCATCAGAATCAAAGATGAAGATTCTTTTATGATTTTTTTCACCCAGCGTTTGATCTATAGGTTTTTTTTTATTTTTTTTTCACCTCCCATCTAAACCATAAGGGTTAGATTTTTCTTTTAACCGTGCTGCTCTACTCTATAGGAGTGTACTTTTAAAGAATATTTTTTTTCGCCCACCATGTAAACCATTGCGATTTTTTCACTCAGAGTCTTCTCTATATGCGGAATTTTTTTTTAAGATTTTTTTCCGCACAGATTTTTTTTCTATAGGTCTGCATTTTTAAAGAATTGTTTTCACCCCCATATAAACCGTACGTGCAGATTTTTTTTTAAATTTTTTTTTTTTCAGCCAGCGTTTACTCATTGGGCGAGTATTTTTAAATATTTTTTTTCCACCAACCTTTTAGACCGTCTAAACCATAGGCATATATTTTTTTAATTTTTTTTACCCACCTTCTAAACCATATTCGTAGATTTTTTCTCCCAGCGCCATGTCTATAGGAATGTATTTTAAAATATTTTTTTCACCCAAATTCTAAGCCATAGACCTGAAAATTTTTCACCCAACGTCTTGTCTAAAGGCTTATATTTTTAACGATTTTTTCACCCGCCATCAGAACAAAAGACGTAGATTCTTTTATTATTTTTTTTTTTTTCACTCAGCGTATAGATCAAATATACGCTTGTAATTTTAAAGAATATTTATCAATTTTTTAACAATATATTTTCAAAGACCCTCCCAACTAAAAAGGCGGATTTTTTTAAATATATTTTCAGAGACCTCTCATCGTAGAAACGTACATTTTTCCCTCACTCCACCCCAATAAATTTCCAATTTACCTTACATAAGGGTAGGAGTAAAGTCTAATTACATGCAATGGGTTTCCGTCCTCCATTAGGATTTTAAACTCCCTTGGAGTTTTCATTAAAATTACATTCGAGCTTAACATTTATTTGAAAAAAACCCCGAAAACCTCTTCCTAAGATAACGACATAATAATTGATTTTTTTTTCCAAATCTCAAATAAAACGTTTCCCATATTTATTGCACGAAGACCATGAGCAAGGATATGTTGTGTACTTCACTTCCTTCTGGAAATTGTTGTAAACTTTTTAAGCCTTTATCTATGTAGCTACTTAAGTATGCAAATGACTGAATATTGATATTGCCATTGAAATTACAAGAGAGCTCAGCCTCTCTCCCTCTCTTTTTTTCTGCTACACACACACAGATGGAATGGCAGGGAAACTAGACATAATTGCAGGATTTTACAGGGAAGGCGATTACAAATGTGTATCGCTGGGTCTAAATAAAAAAAATAAATGATAAAATAAATAAAAAATGTTGGAGTTATTATTTTCAAATTAAAAGCGATTTCAGGTCTCAGACAATGCTGGTATATTTTGGTACCGACGAGATTCATTTAGAAATTCATGTAGAAAGCATGGATAATTTCTAAGGAAATCTAAAATTATTTTTTTTTAAATATTTTGCCTTCAGATACTTAATATTTGGCATCTGGACCATATGAAAAATCTTGAAAAAAAATATTAAAATTTCCAATCATTTTCAAAATATTGTCAGCACCTCCGAAACATCCATTAAAGTGGGTCTACCATCTGTTGGGAGGGTTGATGTCTTCTGAAAACCTAAAACGCAAAAAAATAAACATATAATATAGTTGGAAAGTGCATCTGAAATCTACAATACAATTCGAACCGGGTGTCAACCATCCACAAAAAATTGGACCGAATAGGAAAAATTTTTGGGTAAAATCTTAAAATTGCTCTAAATATTCAATTTTTTTTTTATTTGAATTTGAGTTTTTTTTATTTGAAATCCAAAATTATTTGTTTTATCAATATTTAAAAAATTGGTGGAGGTATCCGTAACTAAAGACCGAGGCCAAATTTTTCGAGATACAAAAAAAAATCTGCTCGGTGGGAAAGTGCATCTGAAATCTACAATACAATTAAAACCGGGTGGCAACCATCCACAAAAAAATTGGACCGATTTAGAAAAATTTTTGGGTAAAATTCTAAAATTGCTTTAAATACTCAACCATAGAGCTTATTTATTTGAAATCCGGATTTATTTGTTTTATCAATATTTAAAAAAAATGATGGAGATATCCGTAGCTTAAAAACAAGGCCCAATTTTTTGAGATACTAAAAGAAATCTGCTCACCAAAATAACCTGATTATTTATTGAAAATTAGAAATTATCTGCTAAGGTAACATGTTGCGTATGATTTATGTCACAACGCATACGCCACCCTAATAAGGATATGGATTTTTATTATTTTGGAGACATAAACCTCACAGCAGCCTAGGAATTTATTCAAAGTTTTTGAAATTTTATGTCACAGGTGTCATGAGGCAAAAATATGTCCGTACAGCTCCTATTTTAAATCTTTCAAGTGGATCTATGGAGACCGACTTAAAGGGGTCAAAGGAGACCGCCTTAAAAATACAGAATTGTAGGAGACCGCCTTTAGGGGGTTCAAAGAGACCCTTCATGGGGACTATAGAGATCATAGACCCCTTTAAGGCGGTCTCCATAGACCCACCTGAAAGATTTAAAGTAGCAGCTGAAAGATTTAAGGCGGTTTCCTACAATTTTGTATTTTTTAAGGCGGAATCCATAGACCCACTTGAAAGATTAAAAGTAGCAGCTGAAAGATTTACAGTAGCTGAAATATTTAAAGTAGCAGACCGCCTTCAGGGGGTCTATAGAGAGGCCACCTCCAGCTGGTCTCGATAGAGACCACCTCCAGCTGGTCTCTATAGAGAGTCCACCTCCAGCTAGTCTCTATAGAGAGACCACCTCCAGCTGGTTTCTATAGAGAGACCACCTCCAGCTGGTCTCTATAGAGAGACCACCTCCAGCTGTAGCTCTATAGCTCAACTATAGAGGCGAGCTCTATAGCTCATCTACAGAGGCGAGCTCTATAGCTCACCTATAGAGGCGATCTCTATACCTGACCTATAGAGGCGAGTTCTATAGCTCATCTAAAGAGGCGAGCTGTAGTAGCTCACCTATAGAGGCGAGCTCTATAGCTCACCCATAGAGGCGAGCTCTATAGCTCATCTATAGAGGCGAGCTCTATAGCTCATCTATAGAGGCGAGCTCTATAGCTCACCTTTAGAGGCGATCTCTATACCTCACCTATAGGGGCGAGTTCTATAGCTCATCTAAAGAGGCGAGCTCTATAACTCACCTATAGAGGCGAGCTGTAGTAGCTCACCTATAGAGGCGAGCTGTAGTAGCTCACCTATAGAGGCGAGCTCTATAGCTCACCCAAAGAGGCGAGCTGTAGTAGCTCACCTATAGAGGCGAGCTCTATAGCTCACCTATAGAGGCGAGCTCTATAGCTCACATATAGAGGCGAGCTCTATAGCTCACCTATAGGGGCGAGCTCTATAGCTCACCTATAGAGGCGAGCTCTATAGCTCACCTATAGAGGCGAGCTCTATAGCTCACCTATAGAGGCGAGCTCTATAGCTCACCTATAGAGGCAAGCTCTATAGCTCACCTATAGAGGCGAGCTCTATAGCTCACCTATAGAGGCGAGCTCTATAGCTCACCTATAGAGGCGAGCTCTATAGCTCACCTATAGAGGCGAGCTCTATAGCTCACCTATAGAGGCGACCTCAGGCTCGCCTATAAAGGTGACCTCAGTCTCATCTATAGAGGCGACCTCAGGCTCATCTATAGAGGCGACCTCAGGCTCGCCTATAGAGGCGACCTCTGGCTCGCCTATAGAGGCGACCTCAGGCTCGCCTATAGAGGCGACCTCAGGCTCGCCTATAGAGGCGACCTCAGGCTCACCTATAGAGGTGACCTCCGGCTCACCTATAGAGGTGACCTCCGGCTCACCTATAGAGGTGACCTCCGGCTCACCTATAGAGGTGACCTCCGGCTCACCTATAGAGGTGACCTCCGGCTCACCTATAGAGGTGACCTCCGGCTCACCTATAGAGGTGACCTCCTGCTCACCTATAGAGGTGACCTCCGGCTCACCTATAGAGGTGACCTCCGGCTCACCTATAGAGGTGACCTCCGGCTCACCTATAGAGGTGACCTCCGGCTCACCTATAGAGGTGACCTCCGGCTCACCTATAGAGGTGACCTCCGGCTCACCTATAGAGGTGACCTCCGGCTCACCTATAGAGGTGACCTCCGGCTCACCTATAGAGGTGACCTCCGGCTCACCTATAGAGGTGACATCCGGCTCACCTATAGAGGTGACATCCGGCTCACCTATAGAGGTGACCTCCGGCTCACCTATAGAGGCGACCTCTGGCTCGCCTATAGAGGCGACCTCTGGCTCGCCTATAGAGGCGATCTCAGGCCCGCCTATAGAGGCGACCTCAGGCTCGCCTATAAAGGTGACCTCAGTCTCATCTATAGAGGCGACCTCCGGCTCACCTATAGAGGCGAGCTGTAGCTCACCTATAAAGGCGACCTCAGGCTCGCCTATAGAGGCAACCTCTAGTTCGCCTATAGAGGCGACCTCAGGCTCGCCTATAAAGGTGACCTCAGTCTCATCTATAGAGGCGACCTCCGGCTCACCTATAGAGGTGACCTCCGGCTCACCTATAGAGGTGACCTCCGGCTCACCTATAGAGGTGACCTCCGGCTCACCTATAGAGGTGACCTCCGGCTCACCTATAGAGGTGACCTCCGGCTCACCTATAGAGGTGACCTCCGGCTCACCTATAGAGGTGACCTCCGGCTCACCTATAGAGGTGACCTCCGGCTCGCCTGTAGAGGCGACCTCTGGCTCGCCTATAGTGGCGACCTCTGGCTCGCCTATAGAGGCGAGTTCTAGCCACTTTTTATGGAGGCCACTTCTGCCTCGTCCAGAGGCGACTCTTGGCTCCCCGGCCTCTGTTTTCGAAGTTTCTCCCCCATTCCTCAAAACTTTTGTTAGTAAATCAACCCTAACTACCTGATTTCCTGCAAAATTAACCGCAGTCGGTTTCTCAAATTCACCCAAAATAACAATCAAAGCCAACTTCAGTTCTCCTTGGTTTCACTGAATCTCTGCTTTGTTCTCTCCAACACCTTCTCTTTTTTTTCTCTCTCTCCCCCAACGTCTCATAAATAAGTCGTTTAAACTGGTTCTTTTCACTTTTCCACACGTAAATTTGGACGGTTTGACGGAGGTGTGATGTGATTGTCCAAAAACAAAGATGGAGAAAAACAAAGGCGGGAAATGAAACAAGAAGATGGGAAACGGAAACTGACAGACAAAGAAAGGTAAACTTTTTCGCTGCTTTCAGTTATTTCGTCGGGGACTGTAAAAAAAAATCCATTGAATGCAACAATGTTCGAAACAAAGAAACAAAGAATTTGTTACTTTGATGGAAAGGTAAGAACACACACACAAAGGAGGAGTAGAATGGGAAATCTTGAGAATGAGGAAGGAAGCAAATAAAAAAAGGTGGAAGGAATGAAAATAAAAGAAATTCAAAAGAAGAAAGTTTTAAATGACTTCTTTCTTCAGCTGAGCATTCAGCTGAGATCCAAAGATGTCGGAGAGAGAATATGTGTGTGGAGGTATGTGTGAATGTGTGTGGGGGTGCATTACAAAGCCAAGGTAACTGCTGAGAGCTATTGGCCTTCCTTTTTTTGCATTTCAATTGCGGATGAAGTTATTTGTGTATCCTTAGCCCGCTGTTCCCAAATATCCTGAGAGCAAAACTAAACTAAATAATCACCAGGAACACCGCACTCATTCAAATGCCACCATGCTCACTTGCGGGTTGCAACCATGGTAAGCTTCTTTTTCCCCATCCTCCTTCTCCGACAAACAAATTAAATAAAATGCCAGAAAGTGCGGGGCCGGCGAAACTTTGAAATGGTTCAAAGTTTCGGTTTTTGAAGGAAAGTAAAAATACTTTATTTTCTCATCAGGTTTCACCTACTGGCAATGTTTGTTTGGACTGGCCTTTCTTTTCTTCTGAGACGCATACTCGCGTCTTCTCTTCCGACCACTTCTCCCATATTTCCCTACTTCGCCTTTTGTTTTCCCACAAGTTGTCGAACTTGCCTCCTCTCCTCTCCGTTCCGCCATTTTTGCCTTTTTTTGCTTTGATATTTGTCTTTAACTCATTTACTTTGACTCGGTGCTAACAAACATTGTTAGTTTTTAAGGAGCATGGATATATCTGCTGTCATGCCAGCCAATTGTTGGTGTTGTTGTTGCTCTGCTCTGCTAGCTAAACATCGCAGCAAAAACTTATATTGTTAGTTAAAGTTTTAAGACGATAAGATGTCAAAAATGTTGCAAGGCAAACGTTGCAGTCGCCATCGCTGCCAAGGCAAATGCAACCAGTAACTTGGAAACCAGCAGCGAGTCAGCCAACCAACCGACCATCCGACCACACCATCAACATGCAGCAGCAGCATGAAGATTGAAGCTAAGATTTTAATAGGTTTGTTGTGCTGATGCTTGATATCGTTAGGGTAAAGCATTGAGGGGCTTAGAATGAACGAGGGAGGTGTGGTCGCAAAAAGAAATACAAAAAAGTTGAGTTTTTTTAATAAACGTGGATTTTTCAAAAATTATTTTTTGGGATATTTAAAAAACGTGGATTTTTAAACAAATATTTTTTTGGGATATTTAAAAACGTGGATTTTTAAATTTTTTTTGAGATATTTAAAAAACATGGATTTTTTACAAATCATTTCTTTAGGATATATAAAAACGTGGATTTTTTTAAAAATTATTTTTTGGGATATTTAAAAAATATTAATTTTTTTAAAAATTATTTTTTTGATATTTAAAAACGTAAATATTTTAAAAATAATTTTTTTGGGATATTTAAAAAATGTGTTTTCTTTTTTTATTTTTTTTTGGATGTTTAAAAAATGTGGATGTTTTAAAAATTAATTTTTGGGATATTTAAAAACTGTGGATTTTTTAAAAAATATTTTTTTTGGATATTTAAAAACGTGGATTTTTTTAAAAATTATTTTTTGGGATATTTAATAAACGTGGATTTTTTAAAAAATATTTTTGGGATATTTAATAAACGTGGATTTTTTAAAAAATATTTTTGGGATATTTAATAAACGTGGATTTTTTAAAAAATATTTTTGGGATATTTAAAATATTTGTTTTTTTTTTATTTTTTTTGATATTTAAAAAACGTGGATTTTTTAAAAATTATTTTTTGGGACATTTAAAAATGTGTTTTTTAAATAATTTTTTTGGGATATTTAAAAAACGTGGATATTTTAAAAATTATTTTTTGGGACATTTAAAAATGTGTTTTTTAAATTATTTTTTTGGGATATTTAAAAAAAATGTGATTTTTTTTTTAAATTTTTTTTTGGGATATTTAATAAACGTGGATTTTTTATTTTTTTGGGATATTTAAAAAATGTGGATTTTTTTTAAAAATTAATTTTTTTTGGATATTTAAAAAACGTGAATTTTTTTAAAAATTATTTTTTGGGACATTTAAAAATGTGTTTCTTAAAATTATTTTTTTTGGGAGATGTGGATTTTTTAAAATTTTTTTTTTGGGATATATAAAAAAACGGGGATTTTTCGAAAATTATTATTTTGGGATATTTAAAAAACGTAGATTTTTTTAAAATAATTTTTGGGTTATTTAAAAAACTTGGATTTTTAATGCACTTAGTGAATGTGGACTTAAAAAAATCATTTTTTTTTAATTATTTAATGAACGTGGATTTTTTAAAAGTCCTGAATAAACAAATTCAAGATCCGAGTCTCTTAAAAAGTATTTTTTAAAAGTTATTTTTTCAAGTCCTAAATAAACCAATTCAACTCTGAAGTTGGCTTTAAAAAATCTTCAAAAATCACTTGAAAATTCTCAAGAAGATCCAAGTCCTTGAAAATAGTATGTTTAAAAATTCTAAGTAAATTTCTTCAGAAATTCTATATTTCTACAGTTTTCTCTTTCTACAGCCTTCCCAAGTCCTTTAGGGCGTGGATTTTTAAGGAATTTTTATAGCATCCTCTAGGCCTTACAGGTCAGCCAAGGTCTTAAGACGTGGATTTTTTTAAAGAATTTCTTACAGCCTTCTCAAGGCCTTTGGGACTGGATCTTTTAAAGATTTTTTTTTGCATCCTTCCAAAGGCACTTAGTGAATTTTTGTAGTATATAATGATCTAGGATTTTTAAAACAAGTTTTTGAAGATCTCAATAAACGTGAATTAAAAAAAAAAAAAACTGAAGTAATTAAAGTAATTTCTTAAAAATTAATATTTGAAAACTACAATTAACGGAGATTTTTTAAAAATAATTTTTGAAGTAATTAATAATTGCGGGTTTTTTTAAAAAAATATTTTTTTTCGAAGCATTTACGAACTTGGATTTTTTAAAAAAATGTTTTTTGAAACATCTACGAACGTGGATTTTTTATAAAATATTTTTTGAAGTATTTACCGAACGTGGATTTTTTAAAAAAGTATTTTTTGAAGTATTTACGGAACGTGGATTTTTTAAAAAAGTATTTTTTTAAGTATTTACGGAACGTGGATTTTTTAAAAAAGTATTTTTTGAAGTATTTACGGAACGTGGATTTTTTAAAAAAGTATTTTTTGAAGTATTTGCGGAACGTGGATTTTTTAAAAAAGTATTTTTTGAAGTATTTACGGAACTTGGATTTTTTAAAAAAGTATTTTTTGAAATCCTCAATAAACGTGGATTTTTTAAAAAAGTATTTTTTGAAGTATTTACGGAACTTGGATTTTTTAAAAAAGTATTTTTTGAAATCCTCAATAAACGTGGATTTTTTAAAAAAGTATTTTTTGAAGTATTTACGGAACTTGGATTTTTTAAAAAAGTATTTTTTGAAATCCTCAATAAACGTGGATTTTTTAAAAAAGTATTTTTTGAAGTATTTTCTGAACGTGGATTTAAAAATATATATATTTTTTTTTCAAGTCCTCAATAAACGTGGATTTTTAATTTTTTTTTCAAATCCTCAATAAACGTGGATTTTTTAATTTTTTTTCAAATACTCAATAAAGGTGGAAATTTTTTTAAAAAAATTTTCAAATCCTCAAAGAACGTGATTTTTTTAATTTTTTTCAAATCCTCAAAGAACGTGAATTTTTTAATTTTTGTTTTTCAAATCCTCAATGAACGTGATTTTTTTAAATATTTTTCAAGTCTTCATTGGATTTTTTAAAAATTATTTGTTCAAGTCCTCTATAAACTTGAGTGTTTTAAAAAAATTTTCAAATCCTCAACAGAAGTGTTTTTTAATTAAATTTAAAAAATTTAATGAAAATTGATTTAATTTTTTTAAAGTATTTAATAAACTTGGTTTTTTAAATATTATTCTTTAAAGTATTTATTGACCTTGGAATTTTTTTAAAAATATTTTTTGAAGATTTTAATGAACTTGGATTTTTAAAAAAAATATTTTTTTCAGGCATTTCCGGAACATGCATTTAAAAAAAAATAGTTTTGAAGTATTTACGGAATGTGGATTTTTTAAATTATTCTTAAAGTATTTACGGAACATGCAATTTTTTAAAATAAATTTTTTGAAGTATTTACAGAACGTGAACTTTTTAAAAAAAACATTTTTTTGAAGTATTTGCAGAAGGTGGATATTTTTAAAAATTATTTTTTGAGGTAATTAAAGAACGTGCATTTTTCAATATTTTTTATGCAAAAGTGGCCTGCAGAAGCTATATGTGTCTCTCGTAAAGAGCACAGCACAGGCTCGCGCGTCCTCTGATTCCACTGTTGATGCGACCTTTTTTCGTCCATTAATCCGACATCTGGCTCACCTATAAAGCTGACTTGTGTCTCGAATCAAGAATGATTGGCATAAAACATTGGCAATATCGGTGCTTGCAATTGTAGGGTTTCAGTCACAATTTTTAACCAAATTAGTGGAAATGTGACATCTGAGATTCTCAGTGGTTGGAATTTCAAAAATGTTGATTCACATCAAGATATACTCTCCACATAGTGGAAAATCCGACGTTGAATAGTTTGAAATAATAATCAAATACAATTTTTAACCAAATATACAGTAAATTGAATTTTCAGATTAATTCCTCCATTCTATTTTGAAAATAAATGTTCAATATAGGTCCCCTATTTGGTTTAGTCTACATAAAGCAGGTACTTCCTTATTGTCAATATTTTGAAGGTACCAGCTATAATTTCAAACCAAAATAACCATAATTTTGGCATTTTGGATTTTATTAGGATGAGAATTCGTGCTATAATGACTTTTTTGATATGAGTCAATATATTGGTCGCCATTGCCAGCGAAAATTGTTTTAATTGAAATAATTCAAAATATATTTATATTTTTAATAGAAAAAATAAAAATCTTATTAAAATTAAAAAATTTCGATATACCCATGCAGTTCATTGACAAATTTATATAAAATCTATCCGGAAATTATAAGAAAATTTCATATAAAATTTTAAAGGTAAACAACAAAACAACAGAACAAAAAAATATTCATTGAAAATAAAAATATATATTAAAAATTAAAATATATTAAAACCTTCACTATATATGAAAAAAAAAAAAAAACACTTTGTAATTAAATTAAAATAAAATAAAAAAATTCTATGAATATATATTTAAAAAATTCCCAAATCCCAATGCGTGGATTTTTCAAAGAATTTTTTACAGCCTTCCCAAGACCTTCAGGACATGGATTTTTTAAAGAATTTTTTACAGCCATAACAAAAACGTCAGAGCGTGTACTTTTTAAAATTTTTTTACAACACACCCAAGGTCTTCATGGGTGGTATTTTTTAATTTTTTTTAAAACCTTACCAAGGTCTTCAGGACTTTTTTTTAATAATTTTTTACAGCCTTCCCAAGATATTCAGGGCGTGGAATTAAATGATAAAAATCTGCTTACCATGAAAAAAAAATATTCCACAGAATTTTTCGTATCAAACAGAACTGGATTTTTACCTTAAGGTTGGAAGCTGGAAAATAATTATATAGTGTAGCTTGGATGTAAATCCTCTTTTAACAGTAGTATATTGGGCTTTTAAGTCTGGTATTTGAACACCATTTCAAAAAAGTGGAATATCATTTTAAAAATTTATGAAAGGAGATCATTGATTTATTTTAGGTATATTTAGAAGGCAAGATTTGAATAATTTTATCCACTTCACCTCCCTAACGAAAAATTATGGGAATCGGCGGGTGTTATGTATTTGTGCATTTGTTTGTAACATGAAGAAGGAAATGGATCCATTGTTACTTTTGGGGATCTTCATAGAATCACTTTCTTGAGTTGATTTATGCATGTCAGTTCGTCTGTCCGTCGCTCCGTCCATGTATTTTTGTGAGCACCTTGCAGGTCGCATTTATTATACGATTGGAATGAGATTTTCCAACAATATTTGTTTGTCCCAAGGACGTTTTCTCCGATTTGGGCTTTTAAGTCA